TACGATTACATTGGACTTGATTTAAGAAATAAGAAATAAAGGAAACAAAATAAAAATGAATAAAAATATTTTAATTGATATACAAATATATATATTCCTTTCTTTTTTTTCGATTTCGCGTACGCAAATTGTCAACCATGTCGTCGGCCTTTAAAAAAAGAAAAAGAAAAAGTATAGACAAAACTTATCTTAAGTTGTCCTTTTAGAAGTGAAAAAGTTTATATTCTCCATGAACGGTATCGTGTTTTGCGAAAAAACTTAGAAGAAGAAGAAGAAGAAGAAAAAGAAGAAAACGAGAAAGAGAAAAATGAGGATAAAAATGTGAAGAAGGAAAGAAAAGAAGTAAGTATAAGTAGACGTACAAATAAAATTGTTATAATTTTTCAGTCAGTGTTGAGGTCACGTTAAGATGGCCAATGGGTTCTCCCTTTGCCCTCTCACTCGCCCTCCCCCTCCCCCTCTCTCTCTCTCTCTCTATCCCTTTCTTTTTCTTTTATCCCCACGCACTTCTTGGAATTACGAAGTTTTTATCTCGAAGACTAGACCGCGATTAAATACGAGAGAATGCTGAAAAAGTCGGCGAAGAGTTTTCCCGAAGACTACAAAGAGGGTGGGGTAGAAAAAAGGGTGAGGGGTGGAAGAAAAAGGGGGAGGGAGGGATGTAACTTTCTTAACGAGTTCCTCTTCTGCCAGGATTCTCTGAAGCTTCTTCCACCACTTACAAAGAAAGAAAAAAAAAAGAAAAAAGATAAAGAGAGATAAAGACAAAACGAAAGATAAGTAAGAGAGAATGAGAGAGAATAAGAGAGAGAGAGAGAACTAACTCGATTAGGAATTAATTTTTGACGTACTAGAGTAGAATGGAAAGTGCAAAACAAATAAAGGATTACCTCAATGAGAGAAATAGTAGTAGTATAATAATAGTAATAGTAGTAGTAGTAGTAGTAGTAGTAGTAGTCCTTGAAAGCCTTTATGAGAACAAGACAAAAGCCATTGACAATGTGATGATGGTAGTTAGATAATAGCGAAAAGGGTTGTGTTTGTGTGTGTATGTGAGAGAGAAAGAGAGGGAGAGTTAAAGAGTAAAATTAGTTGGACAGAGAAAGGGAGAGTAAAAGGAGGGGTCCCTTTTCTTTTTTGTTTTTTTCTTTTTTTTTTTTTCAGAGACAGTCTACGTTTGCTAAGTACTTGCAAAGGTGCGGCCAGGCGCAAGATTTTGTGGAACCCCACGAGTGTCTATGTTGGATAAGCTATAATGAACAATGAAAGAGAAAGACAGAGAGAGAAAGAAAGAGAGAGAGAGAGAGAGAGAGAGAGGGAGATAACTAAAACTACTTTGTGATTTTACACACATGCAAATATTATTCTTATCCACGTTTTCCATATAAGTGGATTTTAACGAATGTATGTATATATGCATTTGTTAAGAAATTGTTCCAAACAATAATTCAAATCTACGCAAGCAAATTTGAAAAAAAAAAAAAAAAAAAGAAAAAAGAATATGATCAAAGGTACTGTCATCTTACTTTTTTATCTATGATAATAGATAATAATAATATAGTTACTATCGTTTTACTTTCCACACATCCGAGATCGCGAAAATAATTTTTTTATTAAATAATTTAATCCTCTTGAAAAAAAAAGTAATCTCAAAGTTAAACTTTTTTTAATCAAAAAGTGAAGATATTTGTTTTTTTTCGATTTGATTCTAAACAAAAAATGAATATTATTAATAAAAAATCAATTCGTAAAGCTTTATACAACGCGTACAATATTATTATTCGTCTGGAATGAAATTAATTGAAGAAAAAAAAAAAAAAAAAAGAAACAAAAATAATTATTCTAATAAATTTAAGAGAAAGAAGAGAGAGAGAGAGAAAAAAAAAGAATATTACAAACGTCATGAGAAACAACGCATTAAGGATATAAAACGCATTGATAATAATATTCTTCAGTATATTACCAAAATTTCTCACACAGATTATTATTATTATTCTTTGTTTCTCTAACCCCGTACCTAAAGATGTTTCGTCTCTTTGTCTATCTCTTATTCAAACCCCGAATCTCAATCTATCTATCTCTTTCCACCATTCTCACAAACTCATTCGTTTCCACCTCCTTTTCCACCTCATTCCTTCTCCCCCTCTTACTCCTCCTACTCATCTTCTCTCTCTCTCTCTCTCTCTCTCTCTCTCTTTCTCTCTCTATAGACATACACCTCTTTTCTCTCTACTGAATCGCAAACGCCATAAATATCGGTCTCTACCCTCGTATCCAACACCATACAACATTACTAAAACACAAACACCTATACATACACACGCCCGCGTATATACACCTATACACACGCATACATACACAAATATAGGAATACATATATGTATATATATAGGTAAATTGGTGTGTAGGAAGAAACACCATGGGCTGAATCGTATCTCGCTTCCATGGACACGGAATACTACGTACGCTTGCACCGTGACAAAGCCAGATTTAAGCTCCGCTTACGTCGGAGCTTTCAAGCTGGCTCGGATTCGTCGACTGCATTCTACCTAGCATACCACTCCCTATATCCCTATCCCTATCCCTTTCCCTTTCCCTTTCTATCTCTCTCACTCTCTTTCTATCACTCACTGGAAACGTTCTATCCAAGTTGTTTCTCTACCCGTGATGTTTCGTAACGATTTACCCACCATAACACCCCCTCCCCCATTGCCCCTTCCCCCCCCTCCCCCTTCTAACCAATGACGTTTCGTTATCGTACGTAATAAACCATAACTTCTCGGGGGAAAATCGTTGAAGGAAAACGAAAACTACTCTACGACGATAATTCAATGCTCCCCCCCCCTCCCCCTTTACCCTCCCCTTTTTCTTCTTCTTCGATATCGGAACTTTCGCAGCAGTATTTTCTTTTTCATAAAAAATGAAGGAAGGAGGAAGAAGAAAGAAAAAGAAAAAAGAAAAAGAACAATGGGAAACGCGTAACGTAAAATGTCACGTTGATTGATTGTAATTTATATGGGGGAAGGGGAGAGGTTTCGTATATTTATTATTATTTTCTCGTGTACGGTAAAACCAAAGTATTGTATTATATGCTAATCTTGAAAGAATTTAATTTTGATTTTGATTTTGATTTGGATTTTGATTTTTAATTAGTCAAAGGAGATTGACTTTTGGAAACAGACTATAATTACATTATCTATTTTGTCGAGCCTTCATAAATAACTCGATAAACTTTCCCCCCCCCCTCACCCACTCCTTTATGGGAATATTCTATATTAAATTATACGATATTTCTCTCATCATACTTTAACAGGAAGTAATTAAAGTTTTGCCCGCGATTATTTAATTAAACGCAAATTTTCTTGTAAGTTTGTAACCTAATCGCGTTTTATGTTGAAAATATCGTTTATTCTACGATGATTATCATTTTTTTCTTTTTTTTTTTCTGTGTTTAAATTAATAAAATCACATGAAATATTAAATATATATAATGAATGAAATAAATCGTATCCTTTTTTTTTTTTGTCTTCGTTAAAATATATATTAATAACACGATAGAATGTAATCCATATTATTAAGATGATAACACAAAAATATATTTATTATTATTATTATTAAAGAGTATATATTAAGTTTGTGAGAAAATATTAAGATTAAACAAACGTCAATTATAACTGATTAAAACTTCTTACCGTGTTGTAACGTATTTTATCGTATTTCTAACTAATAGGAAAGATAAACAATCTATCGAGAAATATGTATATCATCGGTACACTTCGTTAAAGAGCTAATATTTGTAAACACAAAAACAAACTTTGAACACCTTCAGCAATGTAATTTGATAATACACCTTACATATTATAATCCCTGATTATATTGAGAAAAGCTATTATTTATACACAATTTTTAAAAAAATCCGATTAATTTTGATAAACAGTATTCTTGACGTTAAATAAAATGAAAACAAAAAGAAAAAGAAAATATAAAACAAAACCATCCATAATTTATATTAACATAAATTATGCAAAGCAAATGCGATTGGTGTATTCAAACTTTTGATAAATAATAGTGCAATCATCAAAATTATCGAATAAAAACGATCTTTTCAATGGTTAAATAAAAGATAACATTTTCAATTGAATTCTATCGGACAGAAAAATGACCAAATAACAACCCGAACAAGTATAAGAATCACTCGAGATGAATTCAATCGCACTTATTCTATATAACCAAAATAAAAATTGTATCTTCCTCTCTCTCTGTCTCTCTCTCTTTCTGTATATTACTATCAATAACTTCAACAAACCAACTATAAGAAAAATTCTATCTTACGTATACAATCTATATATATATATATCTATATATATATATATATATGAGAAAACGTTTGTTTATTCAATGAAAAAGAAAAATACTTTTACTCGTATACTACTGCCAGTAAACGGGGAGAGGGGGTGGTAGATTGAGGGGTGTAAGTGGGGGTGGGGAGGAGGGTAAGAAGAGTTGAGATCGATCAGTGTACCTTTTTTTTTGTCTCTCGAAACTAACTGGCCAAATAAAAGAAGTAAAAGAAAGGAAAAGGTATTATAGACAAAAAAATAAAAATAAAAAACACATGAATTCTTCCTACTTCACTTCCTACCCTTCCCCACCTTCCCCATTATCGCGTGCACAATTCTGACGAACCGATTGGCCATTCGATCCGGAAATAGGACCCATGAGATGACATCAAATTCAACCCACCACTTTTCTATTTATTTTCCTTTATTTCTGTTCTTCTTTTCCTCGTCTGTTTCTACCTTTGTTTTATTATTATTATTATTATTATCGTACCATCTATTACTGTATACGGTTGGTTTTTTTCTTATCGTATTTTTAACTCCTCCCTCATTTGTCTTCTTCCCGTTCATCCCCCCCCCTTTCCCGTTTTTTTTTTCTTTTTTTATTCATGTTTATATTATGCTATATATATAATACTATGCTCGATTTAATTCTCTTACCGTGAAGTGCCTTCAGGTACGCTTTACCAGCATTGATCAGTTGTCTTGCACCGGGATTGAACTTGTCTAGGATGTTCTGAAATCAGAAAAGATAATAAAGACATTTTTCAATTTCATGCTCGGACTATTTTTCTGACATCTTTTCGTTCTCAACGAAAAAAAAAATCAAGAAAAATGAATTCTTTCCTTTTGTGAAATTTCGTAATAGAATATCACTTAATATGTTAGAAAGGTAACCTATGTGTGTGTGTGTGTGTGTGTGTGTATTTGTATTTAAGGGATTTATTTATAGATCATTTGTCTTATTGAATAAATTCCATCCTTTGAGTTTTTAATTAAATTCTCGTATAATAAAAATCGCAATATGATAGTGTATTGTTGAATTAATCGTAGCACGTCACTTGTGTATCTGACGTTAAAACATAAATTTATTTAAATGTTTATTTATCTATAAACGATATTTCAAGTTTACTTTACATACGAAGAGAAATCGTGTACTCAATATTCTTATATACAAGTATAAAAAAAAAATATATTTATATTTTAATAAAAATTCTCTCAATTTA